TTTTTTATCCCACCTGACCACACAATAATACAGTCTTGAAGTGGATCGTATCTTTTTTTTTTTCTTTTCTTTTCTTTTTGAGCTTCTCATTATAGACATCCACTAAAAATGACCTGCTGGGTAAAGTAATTCAGGAAGAAGAAACATTTGTTTGTCACCACATGTTTGCCTGATGTTTTGTTATTTTGATTTAATACAATGAAATTAATTTTAAGTGTGTCTTTAGAGATAATTCGCTAAAAAATTAAAATGCTGTCATCATTTACTCAACCTCATGTCATTCCAATCTCGTGTGAAGTAATTCTTCTGTGGAACATGATATTTTGAAGAATGTGGGCAACCTAACAGCTTCTAGTTCCCATTGACGTCCATATGTTTTTTTCTTTCTCTCCATACTATGGAAGTCAATGGAACCCAGAAACTTGTTTTTGAGGCCACTGTATACGTGTAGTTGAAGCACACACTATGTCTGTGAACTTATATTTATTTAGTTATTTGATAACATTTGAATGTACATTACTGTTCAAAAGTTTGGGGTCAGTAAGTTATTCCAAAAACTGACAGTAAAGACATTTATAATTAATAATTTACTGTATTTTTGATTAAATAAAATACAGCCATGGTAAGCATAAACGTTTTCTTTCAAAAACAAAAGCAAAACATTTTGAATGCTAGAGTTTGTTTAAAGAAACGATTGTATAATTTTAGGTGCTGCTATTTAGTTTTTTTTGCCGTTTTAATCCTCTTGCTGCTTTCACTAGTTAATTTAAATGGTCATGCAGAGTAAAAAATGATTTTTTTCTCACAATATTCTATATAGTCTGCTATTTTCAATTAGTATGAGCTCATAAATTCTACCTGCACAATAAAAGAATTAACAAAATGTTGTTTAAAGTAGTTTTCCTGCCAGCTACCCATAAAAATCTTCTCTTTTACTTGTATTGAAATTCATCCACTGTATTGTCCCAACATCACACTATTTCCACATCCTGACCAGCTCTCACCTCTCTCTTCTCCTTCAGCCTGTTTAGGAAACCCTTTGATGGTGGGAAGAGGACGATGGATCATGGCAGTCAGCAGCCACAGACTCCGCAGATGCCAGGACCCTTCACAGGTTATGCGGGACCCCAGGGCCCATACCCTGGGCAGCACCCAGCCCTGTTACGGCTGGACGAGGTGCAAAGGGAGATTGCCACCCTGGGTCCACAGGTGTGCTCTTACAGCGGCCTGCAGAGCGACAGGGAGTACAAACGACTGGAGCGAGAGCTGACCCGATTACTGCTGGAGGTCGATAAGGTCAGGACAGGCCATCCAACTTTTTAGTTCGGTATGAAGTCACACTAGTTTGTTCTTCTTAACCATGTTTTGTTTCCTGACCCAGGTGGAGACGGAGGGCCGGCCGGAGCTTCAGCAGGCTCGGAAGCGTGCGGCAGGAGAGGTGGAGGGTCTGCTTCGCTACCTGGAGGGCAACGCTACGCATCCGTCTCGGCTGGCCATTGAGGAGCTGACCCAGGAGGTGCAGAACTTGCTGAATGAAGGGGTTGTGGGGCCGTTCCGGCAGGGCCAGGCTCAAGATGCCTTTGAGATCAGTGAGGAGCTGGTGGAGGCTGTGCAGGATGTGGCCATGCGGCTGGCTCAGGTTAAGACGGGTGGAAGTGTCCCTCTCAGGAAGGCCCGTTACAAAGCGCTGACACGGGTCTGTGCCGTACAGGAATTACTGGAGGGTCGTGTCCGCACTCAAACGCTGGCGCTGCCATTGTCCGATGACACGCATGAGGCTGTGCAGCGTATTAATCAAGTCATGGCGCAGGTGAGTGGTATTTATATAATTCACAATCCTGCATCTTAACCAGCAAATCACTGTTATTTATTTTACATGTGAAGATACAGCAGTTAAAAACAGACCTTTTTTATTTTAAAAGTCGGAGAGAGAGTAGAAAATAGCCATTAAAATGTTAATAGTGTGTTTTTTGTACAAAAACATAAGGAGAAAATACAATCAAAATTTACACTACCATTCAAAAGTTTGGGGTGAGTAAGATCTGAAGGATCTTGTGACACTGAAGACTGGAGTAATCATCCTGAAAATTCAGCTTTGCACCACAGGAATAAATTACATTTAAAAAAATGATTCAAATAGAGAACAGTTATTTTAAATGTAATAATATTTCACAATTTTACTGCTTTTACTGTATTTATGATCAAATAAATGCAGCCTTAATGAGCATAAGAGACGTCTTTAAAAACATTAAAAAAAAAACTTTCCTAGCCCACTTTTGAATGGTTGTGTATAGGGCTGGGCAATATGGCCAAAAAAATTATCATGATAATGTTTTTTCATATCAGTCGATATCGATAATTATCACGATAAATGTCACATTTTTATTTCTTTCAAGTTTAAAGGCAGATTTTTGCTCCAATGTGAAAGTTGTAAAAACCAGACAGTTAATTTTTTGTGGTCAGAACACGACACTTTTCCAGTCATTTTTCCTTAACAAAATAAATATCTTAATAGAAAAAAATAAATTCTTAGTTCTGCACGTTCTAATGAGTAATATTGTTTCAAATCAAGAAACAGGTTTGTACGGAGCCTTGCACATGGCATGCAGGAAAAAAAGAGTAGGCTAAATCGTGCGCACGATTTACTATTTCGTTCCCTCGATTTAAAAATTGTGCACACGATTTAGCAAATCGAGGGAACTAATTAGTAAATCGAGGGAACGAAATAGTAATCGTGTGCACGTTTTAGTACATCGAGGGAACGAATTAGTAAATTGTGCGCACAATTTATTTTTTTTCTTGCATGTCATGTGAAATCTCTTAGAAATACACATTTAATAGTAGCTTAAGTTAGGATGCAGATGTCGATCTATGTTTATTATCAAAATCAGTAATATCTGTAATTATTTTAGCAACCTAATTTTTATGTAGTGAAATATAATTATTCTGACTGTTTGAGTTTTATTTTTTTTAATTGACCACTGGTCTTCCATAGTAGCATACATTTAGATCATGATAATCACCGTTAAAACCACAAATATAGCATGTAATATGGTTTTTAGGTATTTGTATGAAAAACAGTAGCAGAGTCTAAATAAATTTAGTATAAATGCATAAACGCTATAGCTTAATCACAAAAATAAATACTGTAATTATATTCCATTAATCCTCCTCCAATACATTTAAAACGCACTGTGTTTCTCCTCTTTGTCAGCGCTGTATCATCTGGCTGTAAACAGAGTTATTTGTGTTCTTCGCTGAGTGCAAGTGCTTCACACTGGATCTCACAGCACCGTTTGATCGAGACTCATCAGCGAGTGAACGCATCTGCGCTAGTGAAGCTCGTGCCGCGCCGCCATTTAAACTTTGATCCGAGTGGATAAACGATCCGAGAGGCACGCTTCAAATGAGTTGTGCTCTTTCGTTCCACCTTTGCCTCATAAACATTGTATTGTCTATCGAGGAAATTTATAACGCGCGATAATTATCGTTATTGATTTATCGCTCAGCCCTAGAACTTGTGTATATAACCTCTTTAATCATTTTTGAAAAAACGTTCTGATTTTAGCCATGATATGACTTAAACAATGTTGACAGTTAAATAAAGAAAACCTGAGATGAACTCATCTTGTGTAGGTGAGTGGTGCCCGGTGCCAGGAAGTGGCTCTGCTGATGGGTCTGAGTGGGCGTGATAGCTGTGCCCACCTGGCGAGGATCCTTACAGAGCTGTTGGTTGAACTGGACGCCCTGGATGTGTCTAGTAATGCTGCGGTGAGGAATTACAGAAAACAAGTGGTGGAGGAGATCAACGGTCTGCTAAAACATCTTGACCTGGAAGGAGAAGGAGAGGACACACGCAGGTAACACATCAACACACAAACTACAGTATGCAGCACCACTGAAATTCTGTTTAGTGTTTACAAATGAGACATTCAAGTAGTCTTATTTAAGGGTGAAATTTGAAAATATAAATTAGAATTTTTTGTTAAAAGATAAACATTTTAATATACAAAAGTTTTAAATAATTGATTTGTTTTTTTTTTTTAAAGAAGTGAATAAATGTATTACTTTCAGGTATTACAAGTATTAAAATTAACATTACCATTCAAAACAAGTTTGGGTATCATTCCACAAAAATATTAAGCTGCAAGTTTTTTTTCAACATTAATAATAACAAAAATGTTTCTTGAGCATCAATGATTAAGAAACATTTCAAATATCAAGAAAACATTTTTATTGTTATGAATGCTAAAAACAGTTGCTGCTTAATAATTTTGTGGAATTCATGTTATTTGTTTCCTATGTTATTTTTCAGGATTCATTTTTTTTTTTTTTTTAAGGAAGTCCTTTGTAACACCTTTTTCCCCCATTTTTATATATATTAAATAATGTATACAGTATATATCATTTAAATGATTATTATTATTAATACTCAAAATTGAACTTGTATGTGATCAATAGTTATTTGAATGGATTATTAGTTACTTAACCTATATTAATGAAGTTAACTCACTGTATCTCCAGGTATGATCTAGCGCAGAATGACTCGATCCGTGAAATTGAGGCGATCAGGGGCCGCGTCTCAGTGCTGCGGGAGGAGGTGCTCCGGCACGGTGCTGCAGGACAGGGGACGGAGCTGCAAGGTCTCCTCACGCACCTGGATCAGGTGGGCACGGGGCGAAATCCCTGCATCCGGGAGGCGCGGCGCAGGGCCGTGCTGGAAGTTCAGGCGCTCATCACCTTCCTAGACCTCTGGGAAGCCCTCGGACGGCGTAACCCCGGATCAGACGAGCCTCCGCCTCATGCAGCCGTGTGGCGTGTCTTAGCCAGCCTGTGCGACCTGCAGGCTCAGGCTTTGGGCTTTGATGGCAAGAGGGCTGACAAGAGCTACATGGTATTAGAGGAGCTACTGACCAAACAACTTCTGGCTCTTGATGCTGTGGACCCTCAGGGTGACCAGGGGACCAAAAATGCCCGTAAGCAAGCTGTTAAACATGCTCAGAATATCCTTAGTTACCTGGATATGAAGACAGATGAGTGGGAGTACTGAGAGGCCCATTAAAGAGACTGGGAATAAGGAGCTGCAAGGAAAAAGGCAAAAGGTTTTTTGCCTCTTGTGCGACATATGAGGACACGGTCGTGCCGAGGATACAGGCCATGGGCGGAATTTTTCATTTGTATATAAAAGACTATGTATCGCCGTGGGCAGCGAGACTGTTACCCATGATGCACTGCACCTGCTGCTTTTATTGGTCCATTACTGGTCCCTGAAAGCTGCCTTTCTCCTAGCAGAAGGAAACATGGTTTCTACTGCATATGAAGCATTTGTTTTCATGACAATAACCCATGATCTTTTTAGTTGAATCTGTGCTGTTGATTGGTGTGGTGTGGTGCTAAACCCAGTTTGGCTGCCAAAATCTGCTTCTTGCTTTTTCCCAGATGCCCGGATGGAGCACATTTCAGTCTTTATCGCGGTGTGAGTACATCAGCTCTATAAACAACAACTGACCCAAAGGGAACAATATTTTAGCATTTCCTTGTATCTTCTACATATATGTCCCAGTTTATGTTAAAGGGATAGTTCACCCAAAAATAAAAATTCTGTCATTAATTTACAAACATTGGTTTGTGATATCAGTTTAAAGGTGAAGTGTAATTTCTGTGCCGTTTGTGTCAACAAATGGACAGTGTTTATACACTTTTTAGGGTATTTAACATGAAATGACACACTTCACCTTTAAAGAAGACTCAATGACAGCTAAAAAAAAATCAATCAGACTTCTAAACCTCCCTGTAGTTTTGTCAGATTTCATAGAGGACTGTGACCAAAATGCAATGAGGAGACGTTTCTTTTTACTATGGAGGACAAAGAATAGAAACTAGTTCACAGGGTTTCTTGTCTTCTCCATTGGTTTTTTTTGCTGTTAGGCAAAAAGTGCCTGTGCAAGTGACTAGGGAATCAAGCAGAGACTGTGTGTGTGTGTGTCTGTGATTGTAAAAAAAAAAAAAAGTGGTGCGTGCTATTTTGGTGGTGAGACTGATCAAAGTGGACAGGGTTGTTCTAGGACATTTTCATCGGAGCGGCAGGGAAAGACGGCAAGCTATCAAACAAACTCAAACACTGGCTACATTCACACAGATCAATGTGACCCAAATTCTTTTTTTCTGTTACACATGATAGATCTGGGGTTTTGGGATGACAGTACTATGAACCAATATAGATTTTGTTTACTTTCATATGTGGGTAAAAAATCGGATGAAGTGAGTTCCCATGTGACTTTAGTGTGAATTTAGAGGATTTTCGTCATATTTGCACATTGGATTTACCCTTGGTTTGACTCAAACAAATGTATGAATTACACTATAAAAGTACTACACATAAAGGTGCAACAGTATATTTTCTTATTCTGTTTCTTTACTGTTTACTCTCAAATATTGTGAGCTTGGTTTGCCTTAACTATTATTTGGCACCACTGTGGATTTTTCATTGGCCAACATGAATAGTTATCTAGAGAGCAGATAACTATTAGCCCATGGGAAATATATGATAATACAATAAGGCAACAGAGTGCAACAGTGGTGTTCCAGATGTAAAAATCATATTCATTTTCTCCATAGAGAAATTGATTTTAATGATAACTTGCTACTGTGAACTACATGGTGGTTAATCAATGGTATGTGCTTTTCTTGAAGCGTATTTCATTACTTCAACCTGTTTTTTAAAAATAAGAATGCTGTCAAGCGATTAATCACATCCGAAATAAAAGTTCTTGTTTACATAATATATGTGTGTGTGTGTGTGTGTGTACGGTGTATATTTATTATGTGTATATAAGTACACACACATACATGTATATCTTTTCAGAAAAATATATAAATATATATATTTATTTATAATATAAATTATATGAATATAAATAGACATGTGAATACGTGTAAATATTTTCAAAATAGATACTGTATTTGTGTGTATTTATATATACATAATAAATATACACAGAACACATACATATTATGCAAACAAAAACTTTTATTTTGGATGGATTAATTGTGATTAATCATTTGACAGCACTAAAAAATAATCATGTTCAACAGCTGATGAAAACTACATTACCCATGAGTACACACACATACATGTATATCTTTTCAGAAAAATATATTTTTTAATATATTTATTTATAATATAAATTATATGAATATAAATAGACATGTGAATACGTGTAAATATTTTCAAAATAGATACTGTATTTGTGTGTATTTATATATACATAATAAATATACACAGAACACATACATATTATGCAAACAAAAACTTTTATTTTGGATGGATTAATTGTGATTAATCATTTGACAGCACTAAAAAATAATCATGTTCAACAGCTGATGAAAACTACATTACCCATGATTCTGCAAAGAAATTTCCACCAGCTAGAGAACTGCTCCCATGAAGCACAGCAAATGAGGTAGGGTCAGTTTCCCTGCTATCAAATGACATTTGTATACATATTTAAATGAATAATTTTATATTTATTCATCATTTGTGATTCGATCCTGTCATTCACATTGCTGCATGGGACTCTAGTTATTTCCACTCATTAAAACTGATGAAGACTTTCTAAAAAAATCTCTATGGGAAATATGAATGGAAAAAATACTTCTGGAAACAAGGCTGCTGTAAAACTGCTGCCCTTCATTAAGATCACACTGAAATTAAACAAACATTTATTTACACTAAAATATATAAAAAAAGAAGATAGTATGCATTATCCATTGACAAGGTTGTTTGTTGATTTGTGGAAGCAACATAAGGGATGCCAAAGAGGCATATATATAGTATATTGAAATTATAAAAACCTGACAATATAAGTTAAATTTTCAAATTTAATATAATAAAATATTACATTTTATTATGCAAGTTGTTAAAAACATGTCAGGGTCAGCATGCATAACACAGCAGTGGCATTTTGGAACAAATCGCTTGAGTGAATAATTCAATGACTCACTCCTAAAGATAGTGGCTTTGTTATTCTTGAATGAATCTGTTTTTTAATTCATCATTTGAGCATTGCCTGTTTAAAGCAGTGTTTGATATGGGCCGCATTTAAAAGGTCATGTGAACAACTTTTCGAAAAAAACATACTGCATTTGAAAAATTAATTGGGCACTTTGGCTTGCAGTGTGAAATGGTCTGTTAAAACCCCTCAGTGACTGTTGTAGAATAATGTAGGAGTAACTTGTCTGTGGTTAAAATCGCAGGAGTATCCAGTTCCACTGTTTAAAAATTAATCACAGAGGCCAGGTGATCGCCATACAACTTTCCCAGCACTAATGATGAGTCGAATTTTGGGAAATAATATATTGTGTCATCTGCATCATGCTGTGCTGTCGAGTCTCTCACTGTTCATTTGAGCTATTACAATGGTTACAATGGCTTGTTTTGAACTAGAACAGTAACAGTCCTCCATTAGCTGTTTATTTTGGTCGTGTCCCACTTGCTGTGTGGTCACTACTCTCTGTCCTGCTCCAGATAAACTGACTTGTCAGTAATCATGAAGCAACACCACAGTTATCATCAAAGAAATCAAGCTGTGCTTGGATTATCAAAGGGCAGTCTTGTTGAAAAATGACAATACCGACGCAGGGCCTAGAAGTTATAAGTGGTGCTGGGAAAGAAAGGAAAAGCAATAGGTTGTGGTCAGAACAGATTAATCCAGACTCTGTCATGAGACGGCCATTGTCTGGAAAAGTCCCTGCGGTGGGCAGAGCTGGCAGTTCAGCTGAGGAGGATCCCACATCAGTCTAGGTGAAATACACGCTCCAGCAGCACTTTAAAACAACCTTGCACTAGGCGTTGGCGTTGTTTTGTACACCTCTTCTAAACCCAGATGGCAAAGATGTGAGCTAATATTAGCACTGTCAGTTCTGCACAACCAGACTTTTACTGTTTGAGAGGATTATGCTTTTTTCAAGCACAACACTGCAGGTAAATATGGCTGACGCTCCTCGTGAAATCCTTGTGATGTAATTTGTTATCGCAGTGGAACTGCTAATTATACACGTAGATTGTGCTAGAAAATGGCAGGAATAGATCTCATTTGCAAATGTTGATACCTGTCTCTCCACTGCAGTTTACTGCCTTGAGGTCACCAGAGATTTTGAGCAATGAGGGGCTGTTCACACAAGATGTATCCTTGTTTTCAATAGCAGCTAGATGGAAAACAAAATGCAGGGGTTTTCAAAGTTGAACTATGAACATGACACAGCAACTTCAAAAATGCAGGAAAAAACAATGCAAAATGTATTGTTTTTCTCAAAGTTGTCTTCCGTTTGGTGAAGTACATCTGAGTGAAACCGATTATCGAAGAAGACAAAGAGTAGAGGTTCAGTTGATTGGTTTTTGATTGGATGGAGGCAGATGTGCTGAATGGAAAGGAGCATGGTTTAAGCACAATAAATAATTTGAGAAGAGGTCAATACAAATTTCAAAATGAAATAACATGGATTGATTGTTCATAATTAGATCATTGAGATGCATTTAGAAAATAGAAAGGGTGAATGTATTCATTTCAGTTGGGTGCGCGGGTCACAGACCAAAAAAAAAGTTGGAAACCTCTTCCAAAAATTTGGTGCAAAACTGCATTTCTGTTGATGCCGGATAACTAAAATGTCCCAGTTTTTAACATTTCTAGTCAACTCTCCCAACAATAGATAATAACAACAAACAGGTTAAAAAGTTGCCATTTGTATTTCATCCTCAAAGCCACAAAATGCTCCATTTAAATTCTGTTCACATTCAAAATCATTTAGGAGATTAAATTATAATTTGTAAAGGTGGTGTCTATTTACACTGTCTGCAAAGGTTATTACAAACTATAATGCATTATAATGCCCAGAATTGCTTAGATATGTGTAGTTTGCATATTTACATCTATTTAACCTTTTTGTGAATACATCACTATTTGAACATAGTGTAAACAAGATGCCATTTGTTGCTATTTATACTTGGTGCAAACTGTATCTAACACTATTTTCACTCAGTGAAATTGAGATCTTCCTTTTGTTTTACACTCAGTCTAGTCGCTGCCACATTTGAATGTAGTTTTCACTCCCAAAACTTCGCTGTCTTCATGGCCACACTAAGAAAAATGTGTAAACATAGGGCACAATGTACTGCGTTATTATGAAGGAATTATTTTACAGGGGTTTTACCTGTATTTTGAATGACTTATTACACGGTGTTCTGATTTAGGTTTAAAGGAAATTGAATCAGATAAATGACCCGACAGAAAATCATCAGTACCTTTTCAGTGTTTTCTACTCATGCACATTGTGTCCAAATCTTGAGCTTTAGATCAGTTCATAAAGTTTGATATGGGTATCCAATGCTATCTCATGACCAATTCGTACATATTTTACAAGGTAGCTAATTCGTACAACCTCATTTGTTTGATTTGTCTAGACCCCATTGATGGGTAAAGTGTAGGGACAGGATTAGGGGTAGGTCATACGTATGAAAATATGTACAATTACGAATTCGAAAAATATGTACAAATTGCCATGAGATCGGTTTGGGGTATTAGACATGGCACAGTCCAAGTTCTCTGTCAGATCTGAGTCACACTGATATCTGCAAAACTATCTCCATTGCTACCATCACAAATCAAATCCATTCTGATTGTTGAATAGCAGATTATGGCACTTTATAGGTCAACGTGTCCTCTAGGAATATTAGAGATTCTTTTGTTCGTGCTGAATTCATATTACCTTGATTGTATTACAGGATGAGCTTTAAAAACAGAGATATTTGACACTGAGACCAAGTTCAGGCTCTATTCCTGCTTTAATGTAATGAGCGAGCATTGCACCTGTCTTTTTATACTTTGTTTACGGCAATTAGTCTTTATTATAGTGACATGACTGATGTGAGATGAGAGGCGGCAGAATTGATGTTTGGAGTAAAACACCATGCAGTGTGATGTATTAGAGGACTTCTCATTTTACGGATGCCACCATACTAAAGTTCATTACACAAGCTACAAACGACGTAAAACCCATTACTCTGCTTGCAAGATTGAGAATGTAGTGAAGAATGTCCATCTTTGTTTTATACCAAAGTTGTTTTTAACTTCCATTATCTTTTTAATCACTGAAATTTAGTAACTAGAAAAACGAAAACCTCCCATTCTTGCGTTTAGTTTTTCTTATCTGATCTGTCTGGAAGAATGTGTTTTTGTGGTGATCTGTGAGATTGTCTAAATGTGTCATGCTATTTATGATGTTCAACGCTTTGTGTATATTGTCTGGTTTATGCTTGTTTAAAAACAAAACAAAAAGCACATTAATTTCAAACTGCTGTGTGAATGCTTTAGTCAGCGGGGTTGTT